GGTAAATTGACTAAACGAGTTTCGGTTGCTATAAGCTTCACAATAACAGAACCAAAAGGAAGACAATCATTCAGGAATAAGTAGTGAAATGTATCTTCTTTGCAGTTAACGTTTTACTCACCTCGTTCTACACAGACCTGATGTCAAAGATAATCACTCAGCAAACTAGGAGACTGCACCAAGTCAAAGAGAGGAACACCTCAAAGTGCTTTACCAGTAAATCGTGATCTTTTTCAGGTACAATATTTAGAACTGTGGGTGTACAAAGGCCTGACGACAAAAAGGCTAAAGAAAATGTGGCGCCAACTCTTGTAAATAATTTTGTCAATAAATCACGATAAAACGGCTCGTTGTCAAGCGAATGGAAAGTGTTTAGTTCATTAACTACTCAATTTGATCAGCAGACGTATTTCTGTAATATGGGCATTAGTGTGGTTCCTTGATCAAATAAAAGACATGTGATAACATCCGACAAAGTCATGACAAACGTTTTAATTTTTGATTAAAATAAAATGCTACGTTTGGTCAATATTGGTTCATTATAGAGGCAGTTTGCGAAGATGAATTTCCAATGGTTTCACCATTTTTTTTGGAAAACCAGCATGAACCTGTGATTGATGAGCACTAGTTGGATACTTTTGCTAATGAAAACGACGGTTAGATTGTGACAAACAACTCACTAGATCGCTGTGCGATATGTAGTTCTCAACTTCAGCTTGGAGCCATTTTATAGGTGTCCCGTATCGTCACCAAATATTGGTTGCACACCAAACAATCGACTGTAATGTTATTTATTCAACGAGTTCCGGAACACCTGGGACGATCAACAAATAGTTCCTGATCAATTGGTAGCCACTTTCAGACTGTTAAAAGACCGATGTATAACATTACAATTTTCATCTCAGTTTAATTAGAAAATCCTATTTTTCCAATGAGAGAACACATCACTTATATTGGAGCGGTTCACAGCAAAATGATTTATCTCAAAGTGATATTTATCATTGATCTATTAGGTGATGAGATGTACAGGTAACAGCGTTTCGAAACAGTAGTACACTGAGAGCACTGAGACGAAATTCGATATGGGTTTATTCTTACGATTTTGATCAACAATGCGTTTTTTCTTCAAATTTATCTTCATCTGACCGTTCAATCCAATACTTTTTATCATAATAACAGTTAGCGTTTTATCAGTATATCATGTCCTGTTGATATGATTGAGCTTATTGTGAGCTTAATTGAAAATGTTTGTTCCAAAGGAACCTTCTATTCAAAAATCGACGCTGAGAAACTCTGAATGAGTAGAAAGTCTGAGATCAACGGATGAAAATGAAAATCGGAAAGGTGGATCGCCATTTTGGAAAGTCACCAGCAGTGGCACTACACTTGTGTATAAAGCCGGATTCGAAAATCAAGCCCTTATGATAGAATTTTGACCGGAGTTTGTCACAGAATTCACACGACAAATCCCATAACAGATCTTCAAAAAACTTTTTGATCAATCGATTACCTGTAAACATGAGTTAAACGTTCATAACAGTTGACAAGTTGCACAAACAAACTTGGTTAAACCTGTATCTCATTCTGATATCTAAAGGTGATTGCACTTACACTATGTAAATGGAATGACTGATAGTGAATGAAAAATTGACTATACACAAAATGGTGAAACATTGTTTCGCGGTTTCCACCTGTTAATTAGAAGGCAATAGAATCACGTATGTGATGATTATGCAAACGGTCAAACAGTTCCATTGTACGAGCACCAGTAAACGGCAATCAGCTTTCAAAGGTATAAATGACGCTTGCGTAATTCCCAGATTTAAATTACAAATATCCCTTTATCTGTTTACTACCTAATTTCACTGCTATTGCTAAAAGTGCAAGGTGAATACACTAAATTTGCCCCCTGCTTCTAGAAACTTAAACGTTTGATTCGGTATAAGATTTGAGGATAAGGAAGGGAAACGGCGGAATAAGAAATATCTAAATCTGATCCCCTCATATCACCCCCTTTTATTAAAAAATCAGCCATGTTGAAGTATAAGACAGTCTACCTGTGAATATTTGTGCGATAAATGAGTGAACAGAATTGTGTCTGAGTAATTTTAGTCATGTCTTTAGGTGAGGTTAATATTTTGGGCGGAACAACATATCATAAGATGTGATTTGCGGAGCTGTTGTTTTTGGTAAAAAGATGAAGATAAAGACACACGTCTGTTTTGAGCTACCAAGCCAGTCGTCGATATCCATTATCCTGGGGTATCTCAAAAACCCTTATTCGCCACAACGACCGAACAGGAATATAACAGTGCAGTAACTATTTTATCCATTAAAGTTTTCGCAAAACTGATACGCAGCTTTTTAAATTTTAAAAGAATAAGATGATGAGAGATAAGGTTATAATCCTTTTTTTTCTTTCTGGAGTCATTTAAAATAATTTCTTGAATTCGACTTTGACTTTGTGTTACCTGCAAGTGGTCTAGCAAATACTTTCATCCCCAATTTCATCAATACAAGCCAGCCAACATGCAAGCCTCCTGCGCGATAAGTGACGAATAACCTCGTATTACGTGTCCGAATCAAACGGTTAGTCGGCAACGAGGGTGTTAATTGAAATATTCCACCGAATGCTATCAATAGTCCACAATGTTTGTCAGGAAAGACAATGTCAGGTGAGGAAAGCCAACCACAGTTTGACGACGTTGATAAACATTCTTATTATTGAATCACATGTCGTCACTCAATGCGATTACTCATAATGAAATGAATCAAACGTTTTTTAGAGGATCAGCTTCAATTAAACTTAATTATCGAGCCTATTTGACGAAGGTACGTACAAGCTTATTTCTTCAAGCCATTAAAAAGAGCCAATCTGTGGGTCCAGTAGGGTACTGAATCCGCGAGCTTATAGGTAAAACGCGAACATAGCGCGTTTTCAATCACTAATAATGAAATCAGATGTGAATACGTCACCCGCGGATTATCGCGTATAATAAGCGTCATTTGCAATAAACCATTTCAGGGATTTGAAAAAGCGAAGTCTTTGTAAGTTATATCCCATAACAAAAATTTGAATTTGAATTTGAGATCACTTCTATGCATCTATGCTATATGACTCAAAGCGTAACCAATGTGGTAGATAAGCTACCTGATGAGACACAGGATGAATCAGAATATCGATGACACCCTTCTATCATGTGGTATATTTAAAGCACGTAGAAACAAAGGGTTTCAAACATGATGACTAAGGAGCTTTGAGTATTACAAACTAGCTCCTGGCTCGAGCTTCGCTTTGAAAAATCAATGATTTCTTGTGGCCGAGATAACTGCACTACACAACTGTTTTCAAGTTATCATCATCGTGGAGTATTTGGTACAACGTTTAATCATGTGCGTTGTTCATTTACATCAACTACACCCATGAAAATCATGTGATTTCGAGAAATTCCTAAAAGAAGCTCAGCAGAAGCCCTGAGAAATTCTAATTGGATCTAATTACCCAACCCACTTTGGTCCAATTATCATCCGATATCACGCACTGGTTTGATGATTTAACCACATAACTTGTTTAACTTCGTTTCGATTTGCACCAAGATGCGCGTTCTCCAGCTTATTGTTTTGTTATCAATCGCATCATTTTGTAAAGTTGAATCCGCGACTTGTGATCAAGACATAACCGTGAAAGATGAACCAGTGGATGTTGGTCGTACCTACGTAAAAGATCAACCCGAAATATGTACCATTAAATTAACAACGGATGAGGGATACCGATTGAAACTGAATATTACTGACGTTTCCGTGAGTGCCAATGTGATAGAAAGTAGTTGATAAGGTTGAATTGTGCTTTAAATTATTGAACCTTAGCTTTTCGTTGCGTCAACGATCAGCTCTGATTGACAATCCTGAAGCGTATGGTTGTTTAGGCTAATGTAATTCTCCCAAACATTTAAACCATCAATAAAAACTGAGTTAAGGCGAATGTTGGTAAGTCATTCATCAGTAAGCAATTGTTTTTTTTTATTTTACAAAACATGAATAATATTTACGGTTTGATCGTTTCAGAAACTGGTTTCAACAAATAACAGCTGCGTTGAGAATTACCTCAAGATAGCGTATACTGAAGCTGGGCTAAAAGAAGCAAAACCGTACTGTGATAAGACAGAGGCACCCAAATTAGATTCCGAAGCAAATCAAATGATCTTGCAATATCATATGTCAAACGTCCCGCCAGCTTCTAGTTACACGGGGACTGTAAAACGAGGTAGGCGAAAAACGTGTAGCATTCATGAATTTCATTATGCATTTTCGAAAAACTGTCCCCAATTTTGGTTTTCTAATTTTGGACTATACTTTAACTAGTTCTCCTTTATACA